GTGTGTGAGACTTCAGTGAGGCTTTGGAAGCATAATTTCTAAACCAATATGTACGTTCATCATCTCTATCACAAATACACATCTTTAATAATATTTGAGTTTCTGCAACTTTTTTGCACTGAAAGATACAGGTGTGTGATGGTTTATCTCATGGTGACAAATGTTTATCATCAGTTTTGTTATCGCAGCGACTGCAGTGCTGCTGTATAGAAATCAGATATCTGATTTTCTTTGCTATGGAAAGCGAACACTGAATCACTAGCGTTTCGCGGTGCGGTTGGCTTTCCTATCGACTCCCTCGACCAAAACTTCGCCGTCGGGAGTAAACGCCATTATGCGTTACCTGGCGCTGGTTTACATCTCCGCTATTTTTTTGAAATCGAATGGATTAGACGATTGCCATCCCTACATCAGCGAAATTTCCTCGCTAAAATTCAGAAGTACCGCTAAACAGCAGTATATCGAACTGGCAGTTAAGGAGAATTGTCGAAAAGATGACGCCGTTATGAAGAAGTTGAAACTAAGCTCCTATGGTCTCCTTGCAATCAATACGAAATCCCCTTTGGTGAGTTACTCATTTTCCAAGTTTTTTCGCTTTCTTGCAATTTGAGTCTAGGGGGTGGCTGAAAAGCGATAAGCAGCTTAATTTTGATATTTACAATCTGATTTCTTATAGAATTTTCACATCTTATCTTCTATTGATGACTCTTTTTTCAGATGGATGCTCAAGAGAATTTTTTCGCAACAACATTGGTCGACTACAATAATCAAAAATGGCCAAAAAGCACCGAATACCAAGCATTTTTCGTTGTTGGTAGCCAAGAAAGAGGCGATGTAGATGTTCCAAATGGAAATTTTCCACGAGCTCAAAAGAGGATTCACTTCAATTTTTTCAGTACTCGAGCGAGTTGTGCAAAATGCTCTCGTTTTGTGAACTGGCCCTTCTGCGATCGTTCCTGCGAGCATCTGGAAGGTCAGTCGTCTCTTAAGCAGTACTTTGCTTCTTCTTCTCAAACAGAACGTCCACGAATTCACGGCGAAGACTACTTACTTCGAGGGCAAACAGCTTTTATGCTTCTCAAGCTAAACGGTGAGGATGCCTCCGACTTTATCGACAAATTTAGTTATGTGCAGACCGTGAGCGGCCACACCATTTATAGTGAAGATAGATTACATATAACAAGAGAAAAGCAGCAGTGGCTGTCGCAGCGTATTGTTGATATTGTAGTATTTACACCATCGAACGACCTTTCGGTAGTCATTCCAATGGAGCGAATGGACCTAGTTTGGTCGCATTTACGTCGTCCAATGATCTTCTACGTTCTTCCACCGGACCTTCTCACAGATAGCAACTCCATTTCTTTATGTCCTCATTCACAATGGGCTGTCTCTAGCAGAACACCCGGCTATGATAATGTTTGTGAAGGAGAGGGGTTTACTACAAACTTGCTGCAGTGGGAGAAGCTGTCTAATTCACAATCTCCTATCCACGCTCTAGATGAGCAGAATGATGTGCTTTCTTTAAGTAGACTTGATGATCCTATAGAACTGCTAGATGCGTCTGCTCCGTCCGAAAGCTTCCGAGACACATCAGGCACACCAAGACCAGCTTCTTATATCGGTTTTGGTGTCGCTGACGAGCGATTTTCCGTCCTTGACGGAAGGGTTAAGCAGCTGTTAGAAATGGTTCAGGTGATGGCATCCAAACAAAATCACTTCTTTAACGCCCACAAGGCCCTCGCTCAGCAAGCGCAACAGACCAGCAATCTTCTGCATCATATGATGGACGAGATGAGAGAAAGAAGCGAATTACACAATGCCGAAATAGAACAAGCGGAAAAGGAACTAAAAATTCAATTTGGTCTCTATCTGGATACCGAAGGGAAATCACTGCTCTCTGGCAATCTCAAAAAACTCAGAATAAATGACGTGGAACTGACGCAGAGTCAAATTAGAACGTTACTGAATAAACCCTATCTCAGGTACTATAGGCACCCAAGTTTTCCTAACGCAGATTTTATGCGGTGCTCGTTATGTAATAGAGAGTCTGCAGAATTTGATCCACTTGAAGCGTTCGCTGAGTGTGCACGATCTGATACAGGACGAGTTGAGAAAAAAGTTAATCTTCTTGGAAAAGACAGTGTGTTTTGCATGAAAAAACTGTCAAGCGTTTCCTCGCGAGAGAGACCTCACTTGCCGTTTACTCGCCTTCTTGAGCGTCTGTCTGTTCACGAAAGCTCCAAAGAGCATATGCAGCATATGGACGAGTTTTTTAGCAGACAAACGGAGCGGAAAAAAACCACGGCAGATGATATTGCAGCGACAGTAACATCAAGTCTCGCCGCCTATACCATCGCTAAGCAAGGGCTACCATTTTCCACACAGTTTCCACTGCTTATTACGGCAATGAGAACTGGTTCTATCGGCGTCAGCGCTCATCATGATCCCACTACGGTGCGTAGAATGGTGACGACTTTTGCGACGCATATGAAGTACGACATCCTGAAATATGTTATGACCAACAAGTTGCCGTTTACACTTCTTCTAGATGGTTCCACATCTTCTCGCGGTGTGAAGTGGATAGTATTTTTACTTAGGACTGTGTCACCGCAGCACCGTCCTATTACACTGCATTTCTTTATTGCTGAGGTCGAAAGCGAATCTGCAGAACACATCGTTGAAGCTCTGCTCAGACATTTTGACAGCATGGAATCATGGCGGGATGCTCCAGGTTTACCACAAACAGTTCGACAGTACGCACTGAGGAACATGATAGCTTTATCAACTGATGGAGCAGCAGTCATGCAAGGTCATGTTGGTGGCGTCTACGCGTTACTGAAGGATCGCCTGACTGAAGAAACTGCTGGAGACTTGCGTCCGCGTAGTAATCTCCTTCTTTCAGTGTGTATGGCACACAAGCTTAATCTAGTGATTGCCTCCCAAAACGGTAATCTTTTCAAGCTAGTTCAGGCAGTCATTATGGAGATGCATCACCTCCTTGGTTCTACAGTGAGAACGACTGGACGAGCTGCTTACCATATGATTGCAAAGAAAATGCGCTATAAGCCACTAGAGATGTTGGCGTTATTCACGGTACGATGGTCTGCGAGCTTAGCAAATGCAGTGTCTAATGTTATTAGAATGTATCCGGTTCTTATCGAAACTATGAGAGAGTTACAAAGAGATAGATACGGCGCAGCAACAGTGAGAAGAGCTAGAATTGCACACTGGGTGCTCACGGATGGGAGAGTGTTTCTAGCTTTAAACCATGCAAATACTACACTTCAAGAGCTTTCGCTTTTTTCTATGAGGCTACAAAATGAAGAAGCTCTTCTCATAGACAATATCCGAAAATGGAGAGAACTGTACTATCTTATTGCTCATGTTCTTAGCAGCAGAACCACGACACGATTGCTTGAAAGAGGAGAACTCAAAGCATTTGATACAGCGCGCAAGAAATACCGTCGCATCGAGAGAGGGGAACTTTATAGTTACGACGCCAATTCAGGAGGCGAAGAGTGGAGCAACAACAACTTGTTGCTTTCGTACAATCCCAGAGCTTTTCAAGATCACAATCCTTCTTTGACTGCTGAAGATGACAGCGAGGAAGGAGAAGAGATGCTGGCATCTAAGCAATTTAGATATATTGAAGGAATTCCTCGCGAAGTATACACTGCAGCTAGAGACCCAGAGCAAAGCTTTTCTGCTGATGACGCACCCGAATTTGACAAGAGCACATTGTCACGCTTTAATCTGGGAAGGGCTTACCATGATTTTGCGTCAACTTCTTTGCAAGATGCCGCGGAGCGGTTTTACAATGATGTCAAAAATCAACTGCTTGCGAGAATGGGAGAAACAAGAGTGCATGAGGTCCAAGAAAATGACTTAACTGCGCTGGAGAAATCTACAATTATGGATGTAGTGGATTTTGATGGAGACTTCGATACGGGATTCGTTGACTACGTGCCATCAGAAGCTACTTACGTTAACAGAGGCTGCCCGAGCTATATCAATCCAGTCTCGAATGTGCTTAATCCACAAGAGCGCCATCTTTCTATCTACGCCTCAATTTCTGCTCTCGAAAGATACTGCAACATCCAAAACCTAAGATCTCCCATGATACGATTCTACAACACCATACCAAAAACGGCTAAAACATGCTTGCAGTGGAACAGCGGTTACAGAGATATGCAACAAAGTGCATCATTCTATCAGATGCTTCTTGCTAATTCCGATTCGTTACAGATACCGGACGAAGTTGTGCAGGTATTAAATCATTATCCGATCTAAATGCAACTTAAAGATGATGTTTTAGGCACTTAGATGTGTGGTAGTTGTTCCTGCAAGTAATGCAGATCCAGAGCGTAGCTTTTCCGCTGCGAACAGACTGACAAAAGACGAAAGAAGTAATCTGGCAACAAGCACTCTCGACTCATTGATGACGTATGATTGATAATTTCTAAGTGGCTATAAACTTGGGTCCGTTCTATTGGTATTTTCAGAATACAAAGGGATGGTCCCAGCATTTTGACTGTTAAAATTCAACAGCTAGCCGCGCAATGGCTGCATCCTCGTCCAGGCTTAAATTTACATCAAGGACGACCCTCTACATTTGGAAAAGAAGGCAGTCTCATGAAAGAGATAAAAACAGCTCTTGCAAGTGGTAAGTCATTCATTCAATTTACCTACGGCTACATATGTTTCAGATTTAAGGAGATGTCAACGGTTTGATTGTTAAACATACTGAGCACTACATGTCCATGCACGGGCTGAGAACTCGCCGTGACGTCAAGGAAATCAGCACTCGACTTCAGAACGAAGAGGAAGCTAAATTAGCAATTTTTTCTATCGGCTCAAAAGGAATTGCCGCAACGAATCCATCGTCATAACTCAACGACAGTTTTTCGAACTTGCAAGAAATATCTCTAGAAATAAACACGTTTGTTGTCGCCATTCTCTTGAAGCATTGCTGCCTTCTCTGTAGGACTGCAGACGTAAGGTCTGAAAACCTAACTAATCTAATTGTAAATATAAAAATCAAGTCAATTCATACTGTCTCAAAGTGCAGCACATAAAGCAGTTTTTCACATTGGCAAACGTTTTACATTTCAAGTTGCTCAATAGTTCTCATTTGATACATTGGTACACAACATCCTATGAATTATTGTAATGAAATTTTAACGATAACATACTACAATATAATAATATAATATAATGTTATGTAATATAATATAATTAACATAATATAGTATAATATAATATAATATAATATAATATAATATAATATA